AAGTAAACTATATTTCGTATGAACCGCTGTGTTTACGGAGAGTTTCCTTTGGTAATTATGAATATGTGGATTGAGTAAACTTTATTTTGTATGAGTCACTATGTTTACAGAACGTTTCCTTTGAGATTTATGAATCTGGGGATTAAGTAAACTATATTTCGTATGAACCGCTGTGTTTACGGAGAGTTTCCTTTGGTAATTATGAATATGTGGATTGAGTAAACTTTATTTTGTATGAGTCACTATGTTTACAGAACGTTTCCTTTGAGATTTATGAATCTGGGGATTAAGTAAACTATATTTCGTATGAACCGCTGTGTTTACAGAAAGTTTCCTTTGGTAATTATGAATATGTGGATTGAGTAAACTTTATTTTGTATGAGTCACTATGTTTACAGAACGTTTCCTTTGAGATTTATGAATCTGGGGATTAAGTAAACTATATTTCGTATCAACCGCTGTGTTTACAGAAAGTTTCCTTTGATAATTATGAATATTTGGATTGAGTAAACTTTATTTTGTATGAGTCATTATGTTTACAGAACGTTTCCTTTGGTAATTATGAATATTTGGATTGAGTAAACTTTATTTTGTATGAGTCATTATGTTTACAGAACGTTTCCTTTGAGATTTATGAATCTGGGGATTAAGTAAACTACATTTCGTATGAACCGCTGTGTTTACAGAAAGTTTCCTTTGGTAATTATGAATATGCGTATCATACACCATTGAGTTTTTATATTTTATTTTATTCTATCGCATGTTCACAGCGATTATCAGTCATATAAATAACGATATCCATATTGTTATACCGCTGAGCAAACGGATCCGAGAAATACACATAAGAGACGTCTTTTACACTTTATTGAGATTTTAAAATAAAAATATAAAATATATACTTGATTGCTCAACCCGTGAGTCTGTAAAAAAAAACAAAACCAGGTAGTTGTATCTTCCTTTTGATTGTTTCATATCCTACTCGCCTCCAGTGGCACAGCGGTATGTCTGCGGACTTACAATGTTAGAATTCGGATTTCGATACCCGTGGTGGGCAGAGCACAGATAGCCCATTGTGTAGCTTTGTGCTTAATTACAAACAAACAATATTCGTGGCTCCCCAGTGGCACAGCGGTATGTCTGCGGACTTACAATGCTAGAATTCGGATTTCGATACCCGTGGTGGGCAGAGCACCGATAGCCCACTGTGTAACTTTGTGCTTAATTACAAGCAAACATATACTACTTCACCTGAATAAACTATAACGTTACAATCAAGTCTTAAAAAATATTTTATTGACTACCTTATTTCTATTCTATAAAAAAAAGAAACAAAGTCAGCTAATAAAGCTAAATAATTTGGATACAAAGTTATAAGAAGTGAAGACATGCCTGAAAATTACCATATCTGCTGGACACTCAAAAAATTATCAATAAATCTCAGTGCTCATAATGTATATATATATATATATATATATATTCTGTTCTAATTATGCATTTTAAATCTACGATATATATCATCAAAGTCACTAGTTATCACTGAGTTATACCGGTTACAAGAAAATCCATTCTTCATCAGCAACCCTGAACAAGGGTAAATAGAAAAAAAAAAGACCAGGCCTGTTATTAAAATAAAGTGTTATACGTGGAAACTTTTTAGTTATATGTTGCACATCACAGTGAATCTATATTTATGTAAGATGTGTTTTTATTTACTGTTGTTTAGGATTCCCGATGAGGGGTAGAATTTCCCAAAACTGAAACAACTCGGTGACAACTGGTGAATTGAATGATGGATTGGGCTCCATATTTATTTAGAGCATCTTAAACAGCTCCTCCATCGTATGATTAATAGCATCAGTATTCTTGAAATAAACATATAAACATATGTTCACTGTGGTGAGTAAACAGAAAACTCAAAACACCTGTTTTATCCTGGTCTTTCACAATGTAGGTAAAGGTGAGTGAGTATGTTGATACTGTTTTATTCTTGTGTTTCACAATGTTAGTGAAGGTGAGTAGGTTGATACTGTTTGATCCTTGTGTTTCACAATTGCCATTCGTGAGTTTCTTGCAATCTGAGACGATTGAAATGGTTCGTAAGCAGAGTTTAGTCATAGTAAATAGTTCATTACAATACGTTATAAGAAACATCGGTTCTCATCAACATAACATCAGTTCATTACAATACGTTATAAGAAACATCGGTTCTTAACAACATAACATCAGTTCATTACAATACGTTATAAGAAACATCGGTTCTTAACAACATAACATCAGTTCATTACAATAAGTTATAAGAAACATCGGTTCTTAACAACATAACATCAGTTCTTTACAATCTGAATTACTGCCTGTGTTTTGCAACTCTGCAATTATAATCTTGTTCGGATATAAATAAGGAAGTAAGGGTGTTAGTTAAGTAGGTGTTTGAGAATGTGTGTAAATGACGTTTTCAACTGTGTCGTCTATTTTAAAATCATTAAAACACTCTCCTGTTGCGTGTGCTTATTCCCGCCTCAGATACACATCTCGGTGGTTGCTGAATTTACCGTCTTCACATTTCTCTTCTATAAAACACTCGGTTAAGACAAATACACGTAAGTAATTGTGTGAACAACGAGATTTGAATGTTCTTTGATTACACCTATAGCTGCTGGTGTTGACTGTTAATAAATGAGACGAGATAATCCACCTATTCGTGCGTGACATGCCTCCTCCCCAGTGATTGGAATAGACGATGCCAGCAGTGAAACAGCATCCGAGTCTGCCAGCTCCGCGAGCTGCTTGCGCGTGCTCTCTAATCTCCAAGTGCTTTCTCTCTTTGTAGCTGATCGCCCGGATGTGAATTCGCTGTGGAGACAGGTGGCACCTTCGAAAAGACAAGCTGAAGATGGTAAACTGGTTCTTATTTCTTGAATTTTGCTACTTCTAGTTTATTAGTCTGTCTGCGGTTGTGGATTTGTGTTCATGTCTGTGACCAGCGGGCACTGCCCTCAACAGGCGCTGGTTCCCACCCTGAATGGATGAGAACTTTACAAAAGTTCCTTTGCCTTGCGTAGACTACGATTGCTTGAGCCCATGCCGTGCGGCACGCTGGCCCACTTGATGAGCAGGGCCTTGGGGCCCCCAAAAGCCACCGCATCTGACCACCTAAGCCTTCACAGCCGCCATGCCCTGGTTCACTGTGCGTCTACTCC